AGAAAGGGGGGGGGGGGGGGGGGGATGCACCAGGAATCCCTCCACTGTAAACCAACAGCAATGCAATGCTACAAAAAATGCATCGATTGCAATTCCACATTTGCGCACAAACACGCCATCAGGCATCATTAAAAAATATATCTATGCCATATGCACTTGGGTTTTATCCCTAGAGGGGGTTAGGGACACATTAGTGTCCTCTATGTGTGCTGACCAGACAGCTGTCTTGATGATCTTCCCCAAATATCACAACAACAGAAAACACACCGTGTGCATATCATGCATTCGCCTCTAAATAAACAAACAGGTCGAAGCCCAATTGTTTTGCTTTGTAGCAGACAAGAACCCTAGCAACAGTGTCAGGATTCATTTGCATGCAAAATATCATGTTATATGGCTTATAAATACATGTTGCAATACATCTTTACCTCTTTCTCTCCGATCGAGATATTCAGCTGCTTCGATTAACATCTGCAGTTTCTCAATAGCCGTCATTTTAAGCAATAAACAGCGATTAAAAAACAACAATCCGTGTCAGAAAAGAAACAAGCAGCAGCTTTTCGCTGCAAAGAGCTTCTTCCTCCTCCAGAAAAACCCAGTCAGGCGAATTTTATACAAAATATTTCTTGCATAAAGCAGCGAGGGAGATGTTTAGATGTGGGGATTATTGATATTTGAGAAAACCAGAAATGTTTACAAAAAATGGGGTGTAAAAAAAAAATCTAAACACGTTGGTTTTGATAAAATCGAATAAAAAATGTCCCTCAGCTGCCAAGAAGTAACTAGTTAACTAGTCCTGTTCATATTAAACGAGATTTTGGACAACAAAACCCCTGCCAGGTTGGCACAATCTGGCAACTCTTCCTGAAAGCATGTACGTTAAGGAGGGTCTGGAGACTTTTATAGATGAGCTGTTAAACAGATAAGAGCTCACAGCTTTAGTTCTGCACTAGGCTCTGATACTCGAGGGAGATGTTTAGATGTGGGGATTGTTGATATTTGAGAAAACCAGAAATGTGTAAAAAAAATGGGGTGTAAAAAAAAAAATCTAAACACGCTGGTTTTGATAAAATCGAATAAAAAATGTCCCTCAGCTGCCAAGAAGTAACTAGTTAACTAGTCCTGTTCATATTAAACGAGATTTTGGACAACAAAACCCCTGCCAGGTTGGCACAATCTGGCAACTCTTCCTGAAAGCATGTACGTTAAGGAGGGTCTGGAGACTTTTATAGATGAGCTGTTAAACAGATAAGAGCTCACAGCTTTAGTTCTGCACTAGGCTCTGATACTGACAGCAAACGCTGTTAACTAGAGAGCATCTGGAAAAAAAAAAATAGGCAAAAACACTGCATTGACAGCTCAGTCAGATCGATGTGAGGGCGCGGGTTGCCAGATTGTCACACAAAAAAAGTATATTAAAGCAGCTGGTGATATTTTTGCTAATAATTTGAGCTTTGGTGCTGCTGTGCTGGCTGGAAAACAAACAGTATTCAACCCCAATTCCTTCTTGTTTAATAAAAAAACGTCAATTTTGATATGCCCGTCCAGCGAGGTGGTAGGCAATAATGTTGTGTAATAAAAAAAGGAAAAAAATCTTGATTGGTCGTTGAAAAAATGCGTTAAAATAAAACACACGGCCTCCAAAAGTCCAAACAATCGCTGGTTTCGATATTTCAAGCGTGACTGGCTACTTATTAAACAGCTCGAGCTGTACATATGCTAAGCTGTGGATGTGTGCAACTGAGGAAAAATTAGTCAAAAGAAATAGGAGAAAAAACGCGCAGCTAGCGAAACCATAACGTCATTGAGCCAGGCAGAATCAGATGTGATGTTTGCTAGCTGCTGTCATGTTACTGTACGCCTGTCAGGGGCTTGGGGGAACCTGCGATCCTATTGGATGGACGACACAAGAAGCGGGCTTCTCATCGGATGCGTTTACTGTCAATCTGCCAGACCGTATCTAGAACGGACCAATGGCTGAGGCGCATTCTAAAGCGTGCTGTAATGCGATTCCGCAAGATAACAGAGCAACTAAGTAGCACTGTAGCGCCATTTTGGATCGAGCGTACAACCTGTGCCGTAGTATTCCGGCATTTGCTCCTGAGCCAAAATGGATTATTATGCAAATCGTGTGTTGTTGTTATGCTGTGATTGGCTG